ATTGAAAATAAAACTACCATACAATCCAGCTATTCCACTACTGGGTATCTATCCAAAGAGCTTGAAGTCAGCAATTCCAAAAGTCCTATGCACCCCTATGTTCGTTGCAGCATTATTTACAATAGCCAAGACATGGAATCAATCTAAGTGAACATCAACAGATGATTGGATAAAGAAGATGTGGTATATATATACAATGGAATACTACTCAGCTGCAAAACAGAACAAAATCGTCCCATTTGCAACAACATGGATGGACCTTGAGGGAATTATGTTAAGTGAAATAAGCCAGTTAGAGAAGGGCAATCTCTGTATGAATCCACTCATATGAGGAATTTAAAAATGTAGACAAAAAGAACAAATTAGTGGCTACCAGGGGAAAGATGGTGTGGGGGGTGGGCACAAAGGGTGAAGGGGTGCACCTACAACACGACTGACAAACAATAATGTACAACTGAAATTTCACAAGATTGTAACCTATCATTAACTCAATAAAAATTTAAAAAAAAAAAAAAAACGAACATGCTGCTGCTTCTGTTCTTATTGGCCATCTCCTACTCTCCAGGGCTGGAGGAGCTAAGTGCCCCTGTAGACCCTCACAGGCCTGGCTTATTCCACTAGAGGCTTCCACAGTGTCCCAATGAGGCTGTCCTTATGATCCTTCCTTCCCTCAGTCCAGTCCCAGAAATTTGCTGATCCCCAGATCTGTCACTAGATCTGCAGTGTGGAGAAATTACACAAAAGAAATCCACTCCCAAAGAGACCTGGTGGGTCTTCTCACTTCCAAGGGTCAAATTCTTGTCTGCTTGAAAATGGCCTATTATTAGGATATCACATGATTCTGGAGGAAGGGAAAGCTAGAATAAGCACTATAATTCCCATTCTCTAAAGCTACGCGTGGTTATCTATCCCAGGAGCTATTGTCAGGATCAAGCATAGAAGAGCCAGCTACTACTCAGTTTGCTAAGTGTCACCTTCACCATGTCCCCATTCTACATAGCCACTCAGCTCTACCAGAGCAGATATCCAGAACCTAATTGAGCCATCCGAGTGTTGCCTTACCAGTGCTCCCATGACCCTAGTGGAGTCTGGCTCCCACCCAGCCACTCCAGCCCATTTCCCCCTCTCACTGTCATTTCCCATCCTTTGTATTCTGCCCTCTGTGTACCAGAGAAATATAAACTGTACTGGAGTTCTGATTTCATTAAAACCACTCCTCTCCAGCCTCTGACCAAAGCAGATTTGAGGACTAGACATTCATGTACCTCACGAGCATTTCTGGGGTATGGTCTATGTGCCTGACCCAGGATTGGGGAGAAAGAAGCAAGAGAATTCAGCCCCATCAGCACAAAATGTTCAGGTCAGACTAGACCCATCCTGGAAGTAAACAGGACACAGGAGTCTGAGAAGCTTGGGGACAAAGAAGCAACCAGGGTCAAAGAGAGCAAGTAATTTCCAGGTCTTCTAGGAGAGTCTTCTTAACAAGTATATGAAGTATGTTTGCTCCAGAACAAGGGCTGAGCTCCTCATCTCTGTGGGAGGAAACGGAGAACTAAGCCAGGAAACAAGTCCTGCTGCAAGCCCGCCAGCTGCCCTCTAAAGCCTGCAGCCTCCTCTCACTGTGCTGGGTCCCAGAGGACACTAAAACCACCCCAGCCTCGACCATCCCATGGGTTTAGGCCACCAGCAAGTGCCCATTCCCTTCTTTCCACGAACACACAGAGGTAAGGCAACTTTCTCTTTCAGGGAAGGTCAGATGGGGCAGAGGCCAGAGCTCACTTCCGGCCCCACATGGCGTCTGTCCTTTCCTACAATGACAAAGAAAGCCGGGGCAGACATGGGGTCTTCCTGATATGAGACAAGTTCATACTGAAAGCAGCTAACTGTAGTGGAAGATGAGGATTACAAATGGGTCCCTGTCCTCCTGGGAGCCCTGGTACCATCCCACGACCCATAACTGAGGAAGGTCACTGAGCACACAGAGGCAATGACTAATCAGAGGAGCGATCTGATCTGCTCAGACCAGGACACAGTGACTGTGGGATACATGGGAGGAGCATGTGGACCAAGGCCTGGGTGACATACAGACTGCTGAAGAACCAGGCTGGGTCACTGCCACAGAGCACAGAAAGGTGACAAATGTCCACTTTTCCTCCCTATATGGCTCAGCCGCAGGTGTGCCTTAGGCTGGACTTCAAACTGCCTTTCAGAGACTAAGCTGTAGCTCCTGTGGCTGACCCAATCCACCTTTTCTTTAGAGAAAAATAAGAGTCAACCTGGGGGCTCACAATATCAGAAAAGTGAAAAACAGCCAGCAGGTCATTCCTGTGCTCAAACCTTCCCTCACAAAGATTATAACAATAATTCAAAGGTCACCTATATCATGCTACTGAAGGTACCATCTTGCTGACTTTCAGGTGAAACTGCACAGGTCAGAAAGGACCAGGCAGCTCACTCAGGGTCTCAGTCCCCTCCTCTCTTCCAACCTGTCTGTTCTATTGGGTCAATGTAATAGAAGGGGGCTTGGGAGACTCTAGGCAGAGGATACAGGCAACCTCACCCCTGGTTCTGAGTCCAGCGGGTGGGGGGGACCTGAACTGCCGTCTCTCACCTTTCTGACCAGCTGCAAAACAAGGCTCAACTCAAGCCAGCTGTAAAGGCCATCGTCCTGCCGCAGAGCCAGGACTGGGTGGGGCCTGGGCAGGTGTACAGTGTGGCAGGCTGGGGACAACTGGCAAACAGCAAAAAGGCAAACACAGTCCAGGAGGTGGATCTAGAAGTGCAGAATGAGCAGAAGTGCAAGGACCTCTTCAAAAACTACAACTAGTCCGTCCAGCTGTGTGTGAGGAACCCTAAGCACAAGAAGACCGGTGCAAGTGTAAGGAGACAAGGATCTTCCAACCCTTGCCCCAGAGACACAGTGATGCTGGGGTGACACAGCCATGCCTTCTCCCACCTAACAACCAATGGTTGACCTGAGTCCAGTCTTAGGTGGAAGCATGCTGTTCCCAGCATATGGAGCCCAGGCATCTCCCTCCAGCCAATCTCTTCACCTGTGTCCATGGTACAACAAGAGCAGGGCCTGGGACTGGGTTGAGCATGAGAGAGGACACAGCCAGGACACAGGCTCATGGGGTGAGTAGGTCACAGAGGATCTACCTACCCCCCTGACACTCAGAGCCGAGGTGAATGGTAATCAATCAGCTACTACACATCTGAACAGCTGGGCCCTGAGAGAGGGGCAGGAGAGCAGCAGGGAGAAAACGATGCTGAAAAGGGGGAGCCAGAGGGCTCTGACTGAGACTTCTCCCTTCGCTGCGCACAGGGGGATGCCGGGGGCCCCTCATGTGTAACAATGTGGCCCAGGGTGTAATCTCCTTTGGAAAAGACAATGGGAAATCTCCATTTGTCTTCATCAGCATCTCAAGCTATCTGCCCTCAATAAAAAGAACAATACTTCAGGTTGCAGGGCCCAGACTCAGGTGCCCCCAGGATTGATCTGGACGGGATTGGATGGGACATGATTCTTCTTCCCTGGGGTCGAGGCCAGAATTGCCCTGGGCAGAGTAGGGTGGAGGGGAGGCTGCCAGGGACTTCATAAATTTCCGTCTCTAGAATGGAAATCGTTGATTCCTCCTTTATTCATCAAAATAGCCTATAGCCTACTGGGTAAATTTTTCTTCTATTTTTCAACAATCTCTAAATCTTCTATATAAGAATGGATTCAGAAAAGTAACCTCATTTTTAAAACATCCAGCTTGGAGAAGGCCAGACTGGAAAGAATTGGTCTGCTGAATGGTTGCCACTGATGCGTGTGCTTCGACTACGGGAAAATGTTTACTGGGTGGAAAAGCAATACCTGTTCATCATAGAAAGACAGGTAAAGGCAGACATAGCAATAAAAACATTAGAATTGCCAATAATGCCACCACCCAGAGGTCATCATCATTAATGCTTAAGCAGGTTGCCTTCCCCTCTTTTGCTGTATCTTGATAAGTTGCCGTTGCTTTAACAGAACTGGGATGGGGCTGTTTAGAACTCCTAATGCCTTCCTTTCCACTACTCTGTCATCTGTCATCACAATGGTGAGAGCGTTGGGATAACCTGTTTGCAAATGTTTCTGACTGTTGGACCCATGGACGTGATAGCCATGGTTCACTGGACCCTGGGCAGAGAACACTTAGTAGATAGTAATTATTAGGATGATCAGCACCCAATTCCCCATCACCTGGCAACAGTAACCAGCCTTCCTTTAGGAGAACCCTCTCCCCAAAAAACAGGCACAACAATTTGTGTGACGCAGTCCCCACCTCAGGCCTAGGGGTGCTAAATGACCCAAGAATGAACCAATCAGGCCACTCAACTCCAATGGACCTGCTGATGGTTTGCTTTGGTCCAATGAATATCAAATCCAGGACTTTTGTTCAAAATTGTGAGATAAGAGAAGCTCTCTTGGTCACAGAATGTAAGGACGTAAAGAGTGAATTCTGAATATTCCAAAAATACGAAGCTGCAATGGTGGTCAGAGAAGAAGTGGGGTTACCGTTTATGATGTTTGGGTGTGTCCAGCTCTACATGCTCCTAAGGCAGGTCCAGTCTCTATCTCCCACCACCAAGTGGAGGCCCCACCACAGACCTTACCAGCCTGTACACTAACCATTGATTTTCAATCTACTCCAGCTGACTGCTGTCTTCTCCAGGGCAGGAGCCATCTTGCCCATCTCCCTGGAGCTAGCTTGCTAAATAAGTATTCATGACTTTATCAGGATGGAAAAAGAGTCAATGGTTTAGAAATGGAGACATTGTAGATTCAGTCACTGAGGGGCTTCTGGAGTCCAGCTCCCCTGCTGGCTGTAGCATAGGCTTCACTTTCTTGTTCTTTCTTCTTGCTTTCACCTTGTGACTCATCACTGGGGGTGCAAGTGTGGTTGGTGACAGTGCTACTGTCACCTAACACAAGACTGAGAACTTTCACAAATCACTTTCCCCAATAACACAGGAAAACCAGAAGCACAGGCCTGGGAGGTCTGCGAGGCCCTGAGCCATACCTCTGCCTTCCCCTCGGGGACCGTGTGTCTTGAAGGAAGAAACACCAGCAGCTCGGACCTGAGCAGAACTTCAGGGAAGATGCAGCGACTCCTGCTCTGCTTGGCCTTTCTTCTGCCCCTCAAGGCTGGGACAGGTGAGTGACCATCCCCATTCCAGAGGCTCCAGCCCATCACACAAGACCCTTTGTACACCTGATCCTCCTGCCCAGTACCTTCAGGGATTTTCCTCAATTTCAGGCCAAGAACTTTCTAGACCCCAGCTCCCATCCCAAGCTGAGACTAACAAGCCCAATGCTACATGGACACTTAACAAGGATGGCCAGAAGGGAGGGTGTTCACTGAAATATTTAGTGTGTGAGCCTCTCTCTTGTCACCTGGAAAGTGGATTCTTCATAGCAAGGCATTCAGCAGAGGAAGCAATGCTACAAAAGACAAGTAATTAAGATCCCTCCCTTCAACTCAGGAAAGGTCAGCTCAGACTAACCAACTGTAGTGGTGGAACCTGTCCCTGGACCAGCTCAAGAACTGGTTTCATTTCTCGGTGCCCTCACCCCCTCATCCCTGCCCAGGATGGGAGTCCAGGGTGCAGTAGATCTCAGAAGGGGGTGGAAGACTGCACACGGGGCTCCCCTGGTGCCTTACATGTGTTACAGCCCTAGGAAGCCATTTACAGCCACACTTCCCCCTGCCTTCCCAAGCCCTCAGGTGTTCCACAAAGTTCCTCCCCCCATGCCATTGGCCTTCAATCCTACTAGCACAAAGCCCACCAAACCTCAGTTTAAAGCTAGGAGAAGGCCATTCATTCACGCAGGCAAACAATGTTCACCGAGATCCTAGGATGGGTTAGACTGTAGGACACGAGCATTTTATAAAATCAAACTCCATAAGCTCACGGACAGATTATGAGATATGGGCACCAGGTGGGATATTAGCAGAGGCTCAGAGGGGTCAGGAGACTCACTGAGACAGAAGGCATCAGGGGAGCCCTATCCACGATCCCCTGGGCTCTACCATCGTGAAGACAGCTCTTATCTCCTCTACACAAGGTCGGAAGTAGGACGGGGACAACAAGCACTGTCCTCCCTTTTCTCACAGGGGCTTCTGAGGCTTGGCATTCAGAAAAGGTTATTCTCCTACTAGGAGAACCTGGGAGGACTCTGCCCCAGTGTCTGCAGGGCACTGTAGACCCCACCCTCAATCACCACCTTCCGAAGCCTTCCCTCCTGACCACAGCCACTCCCAAAAAGCACATCGTCCAGGCTTCTCTTTCAGAGGACATCATCGGAGGAGACGAGGCCAGACCCCATTCTCGCCCCTATATGGCTTTGCTTCACTTTGTGGAGGAGGAGAATGAAGGCAGGTGCGGTGGTGCCCTCGTGAGAAAGGAGTTTGTTTTGATGGCTGCTCACTGCCGGGGAAGGTGAGGGACCACAGACAACAGACACCTCCTGAGACCCCTACAGGGACCCCTGTCTTCTGCCCAGCGGCTGCAGCCCAGGAGAGCTCCCCTGGCTCCTAGTAACTCAACGCCATGAGAGCTCATGAGAGGACCCATCTGAGAGCATGACTGGGCCATGGAAAGTGAGAAACAGGACAGGGAAGCTTTGGGGTCAGAGGATCAGAGGTGAGAGCAAGTGGCTCAGTTGAGAAGAGAGACCACACTGGTCAACTAAAGCAGCTGTGGAGGATGAAAGCATGCCTTAGATCAAAAGGCACACTCAGAGTATTTTCACAGTGTTGCCAGAGGGCAAGACAAGCTTCCAGTGTCCTTCCCTCAGTGTTGTTGAGAAGCACAGGGGACAGTCACTCAGCACCCAGAGCTCATGTTGTCTCGATTGTCCCTTGCTACAGTCCTGCCCTGCCCTGGTTGTCACCCGCCCTTCATGGCTCTAGGCCTGGATCTTCTGTGACTCCATGACCCTCGCGTCCCCACTCTATTTTCTGGCAGTTCAATCCATATGACCCTGGGGGCCTACAATATCCGGGAGCAGGAGAGGACCCAGAAGGTCCTCCCTGTGACAGAAGCCATCCACCACCCACACTATAATCCTAAGAACTTCGCCAATGGCATCATGTTACTAAAGGTAAGGGAATCTCCCTGCTGCTCTTGCTCTCGTGGGTCCAGATTGTTTCCCCTCCCACTGGGACCTGTCCCTTCCTTCCTTCCCATCCTGGCCACCTGACTAGTCCGAGTGGCTCAGGGGAGGGGAAATTCAGTGCAGCCCCATTGCGGTGTCCAGGCCCAGGAGGCCAGTGGCTGAGCTGGACTTCCTTACCTCTTCCTATCAGCTGAAGAGAAAGGCCAAGCTGACTGCAACTGTAGGGCCCCTCAGCCTGCCCAAGGGCACAGCCCAGGTGAGGCCTGGACAGGTGTGCAGCCTGGCCGACTGGGGGGCAGGACTCAATGGGCATTTTAGCAAGCACTCCGCAGGAAGTGATGCTGACCGTGCAGAAGGATGAGGTGTGTGATTCCTGCTTCCCTATTAAAGCGGGGCCAGGCAGACTCGTGTAGGAGACCCAAAGAAGATGAAGACCAACTCTGAGGTAATGTTTCCAGCGTCGACCTAGACAGGCCCTGGGAGAGAGGAAATGGAGTCCTCTCAGGGGTGAGAGGGGTCATATCTTCATGCCTCAGCCTGAGAGGTGGGCTGCTTGGGTCCATGAATCCTGACTTTAGTTTTTTCCCTTGAGTAGATCAGGGGTGCAGGCTGAGGAAGGACCAGTCATCCCACAGCAGAGTTTTCACCAAAATTTCCCTGAGGATTGGAGAGAAAGCCTTGGCTTGGGTGGAGCTTCATGTAACAGGCAGAGCCAGGCTGGAGCCCTGGGATGAGGGAGGTGACAAGGCCCGCCCTGCTCTGATTTCACACGTGGCCCCCTAAGACTCTACTGACCCTAGGGGTGGTGAGAAGGGCAAGGCCACGAGGATGCAAGCTCAGTCTTTCCTCTCTCTGCTTCCAGGGGTCTCTGGGGGCCCCTTCGTCTGTGAAAATGTGCTCCAGGGCATTTCCTCCTATGGACCAGAGAGCGACACCCCTCCAGGAGTCTCCATGGAGGCGTCACCCTACCTGCCCTGGATGAAGAGAACAATGAAGCGCTGCTCACAGCAGGTGTGATGCTGACCTTTCTCTGTGCCTGACCACCTTTCCTGGGGCAGAGGCAGGAATCCCATGGGGCGGGCAGTGGGACTGAGGGGCCATAATAAATGGATCTCTAGCGAGTGTGACTGAAGTCTCACTGACTCACTGAAACACTTTCAACACACAGCAGCATGCTCCAGGCAGCCCTCTGCTGTCAGTTGTGGGCTGGCCTTCCTCCTTTCTTTTCCAGCCCTACTTCCCCCTAAACCTCATGCTGAATAGTTTCTCAGTTACATCTCTGTGGTGCTTAGCCCTGTGCAATGGCTGAATCTGAAGGGTTCCCATTATAAAAGGACAAACTTCTTCCCCAAAATATATTCCTCCTTGGGACATAGGAAATTCCTTCCTTCTCTAAGCCAACCACCATCACCAACCCAACAATTCAGCAGGAAGAGGAGCAGGGCAGTGGAAGGGGAGTAACTCCAAGGACCTGGGAGGCCAGGGCCCAGGCCGTGGGCACTGAGCTTCCTATTTCCAGTGTTACAGGCTCTTAACATCAGCCCTGATATCAGTTCCCCGACATTGAACCCAGTGTATATGGGGTTAAAACTAAAACCCACCACCCCCTTTCCTGCTTCTCTAGCTCCACTCATATGTAAATACGTGTTTCTTTAAACTTGGGCTCCTTGAGCTTTAGGACTAAATGGGAGTTACAAATTGTTAAAAGCCCAGGTGGCCTAAAGTTGGAGGCACACTAAAATTTAGCCGACCATGTGTCCTTGAAGTTTGCCAGGAAAGCTGCTGTCTCAAGAATATCAAGGAGCGGAGGCTTCCCAGACCTCAACTCCTAACTCCCGGGGCTCGAACCCGCCTCAAACAGGAAGACAGGACAACAGCAAAGGACGCCCACCTGCCATTCTCCTATCTCACCATCCCCCCTGCCTCTCAAGGCCAAAAGCAGGCTGGTGGAAAAGCACCAAGCTGCACAAGCTACAGGGTGCCCCTCCCCTTCCCAAAACCCCAAATGAAAATCCCTACCCATTCCTCATCGGGAAGCTAGCAATTTTCGAGGCATGAGCCCTTGCTTTGCTCCCTGTGCCTGGCATAGTAAAAACCTTTCCTCTTCCACTCAAGTCTCTCTTCTCGTTATTTGGATTGGCATCCAGTTCAGGGACCGAACTTTCGGTTACACCAGGACCTCTCTCTGCTCTGGGGGCAGCTTCTCCCACAGCCAGGACGACCTGCAGCTTTACACACTCAAACACTCCCTAGATGGCCTCTAGCCTCACTCTCATCCCATTTCCTGCCCCACAACTTGCCAAGCACTGAGCTCATTCTACCTTCCTCCTGGCTGACCGTCCCACACCAGCCCCTGTTTTCCATCTGACTGCCCTGCCCACAAGCTCCTTTCCCTCCAGCCCACCCTGTTTTGTGTCAGCCTCTCTCTCATCTCCTTAACAGAGTTCCCAAAGCCCCTTGTGAATTCTCCTCTATAGCTTGTCCTTGTCATACCACAACCACCAGCCCACCTGATGCCTATCAGAGACCCGGTCCCCACTTCCCATCTGAGCAGAGACAGTTCAGGTCCTCTATGCAGCCCAGCATCCCCGGGCCTTCTGCCATCATGGCCTGTGGAGTCACTCCAAAAGCCTCAGGCCCTGGCAGACTGTCCTGGCTCCTCCTGCTGACAACCTGAGTTTTTGTGCCAGGCACATAACAGGCTCTGTCCCTGATACTGGGAAACTTACAGTGAGGGGAAATTTCCTCTAAACTCCCCTGGTGACTCCCCTTTCCCCAGGCCAGCAAGTTTGGCCAAGGGATCAGTGTTTGGAATCCTCAAGACATCTTGCCTTGAAAATAATTAAATTCTCTGTATTGTATCTCGATTGCACATTAGAGTTTCCCATGGGTGATCTTGTTTGATTCCAGAAGGTCAGTATGAAAATGAAGAGACTTTGAGACCCACAGGTCCTGAGGTTCCCAGTGTGTGCTCAGTGGAGTCCATGCATGGAGGGGAGGGAGGGAGGAGGGACCTGGGGCATCTGTATTTTTGCTCACTTACATGTGGAAGACATGAGCCTCAGTCCAGAAACCCACAAAGTGCCACATTTCAAGTGCAAGCCCTTTCATTGTGATGGAAATAATAACAAGAATCTTTCACATCTTGAGGTGTATGGGGAAGGCATTCTGGTTCAACAATGATTCAACCTAAAACTTGTTTTTCCCAGAGCAGCCTCACTTCTGACCCACCAAACACACACTGTACATCTGCTCAAACATTCTCCCACAGACAAGAATGCACTCTTTAAAGACAGGGATGAATGTCTCCCTTCCTCTGACACCAATACCAGCACTTCTTTCAAGGTAAGCTCTTCTTCCCAGAGGACCAAGGTCAAATTGACCTGCTACGTAAGTGCTAAACTGCAGCAAAACAGATCCTTGTGACGTGGAAAAAAATTATATTCCTGTCGTGCTTCCTGTCTGTTCTTTGTTGTGAAATGGTCTACAGCCATGAGGTGACCATGCTTCTCAGGAGAGCTTTCTTCCTTGGGGGAGACAGCACTTCCAGGCTAGTCTGCAGCAAATTGGCTCAATAAATATCACAGCATCTTTCTTATCTACTGATTGGCCATTGATTATTTTCGGCACCAATTATGACCCAAACAACCTTATTTTAGGATCGTGTATCCTTCAAACAGCACCACCAGTGAACTGGATGTGACAGAACACAGCAAATTCATGATAGCTGGATGAACACTGAATCAATTGGGACCAACATCAAAAAGAGAAGCACCATCATTAAAAAAAATAACAAATAAATCACACAGATATGAAAAGCAAAGTCCAGCACATTGAAAACTAAGATGAAAAGCAAAAAGAAAAGCTTATTTGTCATTCAAGACTGTCCCCATGATCATCTGCTAAGCCTCCCTGGGGCTCACAGCACTGGCAGAAGCACAAGGGAGGGAAGAGCTGAATGCACATGCGGAGATGAGCAAGTGAATAGTAGAAGGTGCACGAGCCAGGGGACAACTTTGGGTCACAGCAATAGAAATGGACACTCTTAGGAGGAGCTATCACACTACAGAATTAGAGACCACAGAAAGTCGGCCATGAGGAGCTCCATGGAGTCCCAGGGTGTAAGCCAGAGCCAGCAAGAGAGTAGCCAGGGAAATACGCCACCAGGGACGTGCATGTGTGTCCTCAAAGGACAGTGCCTGGTGGGTCACTTTCCCCTTACACCTGACAGGAACACTTGATATTGAATGACACACATGATGAAGGAAAACGATGACCTTCTAATGCCCGTAGCATTAGGAAGACTGGGCTGCTCCTGATGGCCCCTGTTTCCTTAAAACGGCTTCCACATTATTTTACGTCTATTTCTGTCACTCAATCTAGTGATTTTTCTTATTCCTACATGAGATCTAAAAGCGTGTGTGTGTGTACGTATTTGTGTGCTATTCATAAAGATGATCATCACACTATTATTCAATAATGGACCCTAAATTAGAATCAGTATTAATTTCCAAGGAGGAAAATGGTGACATATGGTACATGCTCATTATTGATTCTATAGCTCTTAACATCCACGTTATCTATGGGTCTAAGAAACTTGACTAAGAACATTAATAGGCAAGTGATAAAAAGACTAATAAACATTTGGAAAAAACTAAAAGCTCACTAAAGAATCATGCAAATTAAAATATTAATAATTTTGTGCTTATCTAATTGGGAAGGATTTACAAAACCAATGATGTTTACACTCAGTATGGACATTGAGAAAATGGCTTTTTCACACCTTGTACACAAAGGTCCTTAAAAGAAAAACAGGGCAAAAAGTGTCTTTCACTAGTGATCAACCACACTGAGAAAAGTGGACAATGTTATTCCTTATAGACCTGTTACAAGTGTCAAATCTTCTAAATAGTACCAATGTTCAGCAGCAATCTGAGGATTAGTTTTGGAAAAGTTTCATACCGTCGAACACTATGGAAACTTCAGTGTTTTGAGATAGAATTACATTTTGTCACATGGAAGAATGTTCATCTGGTCTGTTGAAGTCAACACTAGTTAAAGGTCAGTATAGACTACAATCTTATCTTTGCTTATAAGTATATTTTCCTTTTGGCTTTTATTCCTCCTACATATTCATTTTCATAAGTTTTCTGTATTATTTAGATAACTTTAAAGTGTATTTATTAAATACGAATGAGATCATAAAATGATATTCAATAATAGATTTTTAATAAAATGAGGTTAAGTTTATGTTGAATAATTTAAATTATAGGAAGAAAAACTAAATATATTGTGATCACGCCTATATAAAAATACACATAGAAAAACATCTACATGGAAAAACATCTCTTAACAGTGGTCAGTTGGGCGGTGAGATTAGAGCTGACATTTTTCTTCTTTCTATGTTTTAATTTGTTTACAATTTTGAAAGGTGTAATGATTAAAATAATTTTGTTTTTATGAATATTACAATTCAGAAAAAGGTAGGCTGCAGTAAGATGGTCCATGTGTTAGTTAACTTTAATTATTCTGACAAACTGTAGCATTTCAGTGACTAACACAATAGAAGTCTAATTCTTGCTCACACACAGTCCAAAAGGAGTTTCGTGGTGAGTGGTGCCCCTCTTACTCTCAAGTGTCCTTGTTTGGCAGTAATTATGTGGTCACTCCATGATCAGAGACCAGGATCAGTCCCCTAAATGTGGCATCCATGTTCCCAATGTTCACCTGCGTCAAACCCTGGAAGGGGAGGAGTCTACACGGTCAGCGCAGGACTGTATTTGTGGCCTGGTCTGGAAGGTGCCCACAGCATTTCCACTCACATCCCATTTGTAGCAACAGTCACACAGCCACACCCAAGCTCAAGTGAGGCTGCACAATGGGGTTCACCTGTGTCCCCTGGAAGAAAAGGAAATTGTTTCACTAAACTGCTAGCTCATCTGGACCACTGTGCAAAATAGTGTTTGCTGTTTATAGGGATCATGAGCCCTACATTTTTTTTTCTGCTTATAAAACTAATATATTTCTATTATAGAGAAAAATTGCATAATATAAAGGTGGAAATTAAAGCCACACAAAATGGTTGTTCTGGATCTTGTCTTTCACATTAAAAAAAGCGAGTTAAAAT